TTTGTGGGGGGCACGTGCCCCCCCCAGGCCCCCCGTAGCTACGCCCCTGAGTGTCAATGATCATGGATGCAACCGTAAAACCCTTTACTAAAATGTGGTTTGAACCCTCTTTTTTTGTATTATACTGTTCTAACGGCATTATTTTTAATTCAATTTTTTTTATCAAGCATGAATTTTTAGTGGGGGGGGGCACCTGGGAGGGCACAGAAAATTTGTGGGGGGCACGTGCCCCCCAGGCCTCCCCGTAGCTACGCCCCTGAGTGTCAATGATCATGGATGCAACCGTAAAACCCTCGTCGCACGCCGACCTCACCACTGCTTCACACCTCCCCCTTCATTAACAACTAAATATCTACCCCACATCTCTTGGAATTGTTTCACGCTACGGCCCTGGTTGTAGTGTGAGAGAGAGAGAAGAGAGAGAGAGGGGGAGAGGGGGAGAGGTAGTGTAATGGTGACATCAGCTACTATACGAGTACTTTACTCTAGGAGGAACATGGGTTAGTGATAGAGTCAGCTAGGTGGCTGTGAGAGACTATGGTATTAGTGTGATTGCGAGGGATATATTGAGAGAGCAGTGTCGAGGCCGGTGGTATGACACGTATAACGTTTTGAGTGCACGACAGGCCTCAGATTTAAAGACGCTCTGCACACGTAATTTACTCCCCATTTAGTTTATAGATGCACGATTTCAGTAGCAGAGGTGAGGTACAACTCTGTAACGTGAAGCTAAACGTGGCGAGGGCAACATATTATGAGAATAATCTCTAAATGCCTCATGACTTTTTACAAAGTCTAGTTTATGTCATAAGTAGCATGTATATGAGTCATATATAGTCATAGTATATAGCACACACTATAGTGAGATGAAGCGTCCGAATGTCTCACTCGTATAGGTGGTGGTTGTGAGTGTGGTGCGTAAACGAGTGCCCTCGCATTTTCGATTTACAGGAGTGCCGACGTCGTGACCAGCTGTCCGGGAGCACAGATAGGAGCCCTCGTCTCCAGGTGGACCCGCGACGACTTATCGGTGAGCAATGTTCCCACAGTTCACTCTCACATCGCGGAGTAATGTTCTCACAGTTCCCTCTCTCACCGCGGAGCAATGTTTACTCAGTTCCCTCTCTCACCGCGGAGCAATGTTCTCACAGTTCACTCTCACATCGCGGAGCAATGTTCTCACAGTTCACTCTCACATCGCGGAGCAATGTTCTCACAGTTCCCTGTCACACCGCGGAGCAATTTTGATACAGTTCCCTCTCTCACCGCGGAACAATGTTCTCACAGTTCCCTGTCACACCGCGGAGCAATGTTCTCACAGTTCCCTGTCACACCGCGGAGCAATGTTCTCACAGTTCCCTGTCACACCGCGGAGCAATGTTCTCACAGTTCCTTGTTACACCGTGGAGCAATGTTGATACAGTTCCCTCTCTCACATCGCGAAGTAACGTTCCACAGTTTCCTCTCGGCACTGCGGTAAAAATGGTATTTTTCTCTGGCTCATTCGTTGTCACTCCTCGGTCTCGCTCTCGCGCTCATCACTCTTCACTCTTTTACACGCGTATACACACAACACACACACGGACGTTATGTGTGTGTGTGTGTGCGTGTGTGTGCATGTGCGTGCGTGTGTCCGCGCGCGTGTGAGTATGCATATATTTATTATATGTATATAGGGGGCCTATTAGTTTTATTCTACTTGTATATACATATATACCTGTGCGTTGACAAGCTGTTGCATCTCCATCTGTGCTCGCAGCAGCGCCACCTTGTCGTGTTCCTCCTGCTGCGCACCCCGCAGCTCGGCCATCTCCTTCTGCAAGAATTGCACCATCCCGACGACTGCCTGGTTGATCGTGGGCTTCGGGCCTACCATCGACGCGTGTGTTGTCCAGTCCCCGACAGTGGAAGCCTCGGTCACACCGACACTGCTGCTGGTACTGCTGCTGGTACTGCTGCTAGGGGTGGTGAATGGTAAGACCGACGCCGCGGACTCTGTCGGCATGGAACTCTCGGCGACGTCGGGATAGTTAGCGATTGCGCTCTCCGCCGAAGCCTCCTCCTCCGGCGGCTGCACATCATTCTCACTAGATGCACCCGAAGCGCTGCTAGCCGAAGCCGACCGAGAAGCGCATGATACGATCACGACAAACAGGAGCCAGTAGAACGACGCAGGCTGTTCACCCATTCTCCCTGTTACGTAGTCGAGGCGATGACTGAGGGCGGTGTGACGTTGCTGCGGCGCTGTCTCTTTTAGTAGCACGCACGAGGTATAGCTTCTCCCGGCGGATCGCGTTTTAAGACAAAACTTTCGACTGCACGTCAGTGTACTGCACCGGTATATCAACCTAGGAACAAGCAGCGGGCGCCAGATGGAGCGAACGACGGCCACCGAACAACGGTGATAGAGTGACTGACAACGCAGCCGCAGACGCCTCCCTCGAGTCCGTTAGGGGAAATTATAGTCGGGTTGACCGGTCCATCCTCTCGCGTGCGTGAACAAGGGGGGGGGGAGTGGAAAGATGCGCGCCGTGCACGTCGCGACGGCCAGTGATTAATGACGACTTCCGGAAAGCGCGGGACTCGTGTACTTAGCAGCTGGAGCGAGAACGATCGTGTTCCGCTCTCCCTTGTTTATCTCAGGAACAACAACGACTCCCCTCGCGTACAAGGTGCGCACGCGCGTCACACACACACACACACACACACACACACACACACACACACACAGGAACGGATAATAAAAGGGTGTTGTCACAGTTACTTGACGCTGTGCAATATCGATAAGGAATGTTCGTAGAGAAGTTTAACGCGAACAGTTCATGAGCCGCTGCACGCTAACCGTTAAATACAAACGTAAGCTATTGTTGCCGTTGCAGGGACGGTGGAAGAGCTCGGGAAGTCTAAAGACTGCGTGCAAGCCATGATGATTTCCAACGACGCTCTAGCTGGTGTGTCTCAGTAGAAACAGCAGGCACACTCCTTAGACATGAGTAGCCAGTCATAAGGGACGGTTGGTTGCGCCCACAGGAACGGGGTGGACGACGGGTGAGGTGGTTGGGGGAAGATCACAGCCGCCGTTTGAATTCGGCATAAATCTGCAAGTTATATATGGTTGATCGAGCTGATACCATAAATATTGATGGTCTCTCATACCCGATCAGAAATCCGTAGCTTTATAACACTGATATTTTTTCCCGTTGTTATGACAACGAAAATAAGAGAGACCCCACGCGCCGTTTATAGGCGCGCAGAAAGGACGCTTCACGTAATAATGTTGATGCAATACGTCGATACAAGGTATAATTATGCGGCTATACATGAGCCCCGCTTACGGGCTACGGTTCCACTGTATAATAAGTTAATTATAATAAACTCGAATTAGTATTATAAATAGTCGAATTTGTAAACATAAATAAGAATAATTAACTCTTATTCACGCTGTATAAATACGTTTAATGCACAAATCAAAATCAACTTGAACCTTGCATTCTACGTACACCAACGAGGTGTTATATTTGTCGATTCTTGTATACCTAGATAGATCTTATCGTAATTACTAGCTTTATTAACTCATAGTCATATGATTCAGCTGCCCGTTTATGTACTAATATTTTTGTTTTTTAGGGGTGGCAGACTTTGATGACCTGAGGGTCTTTCGCCACCCCAGTGCTATATCTATCACATTATATATTGTGACCTTTCATTCTAATATGTATCGTTGTATACTGAATGTAAATATGTCTTATACACAAATAAAAAAAATTGAATTGAATTGAATCCACGCTTGTATGCGACTGTGGGAATGGCGTCATAGGATTTCATTGTTTAATATGAAATAATCATTATTTAGATATAAATACAAAATATTCACTGAAGTGTGAAATATTCACTGAAGTGTGAAATATTCACTGAAGTGTGAAATATTCACTGAAGTGTGAAATATTCACTGAAGTTTCTTCAGACGGTGTACGGTATTTGTGGATCTGTATATTATATTGGTAATTCCTCCCTTGAACTTGTCACCAGATAGACGTACCTAATAAGAATATGATACAGTACCTCCGGAAATTATTCTATTGAAAGACAGTAAGGTTACAGTCTTACGGCCGCGTCGGGCTAGTTACGTAGTAGTAATAGTTGATAACTATAATACCCTTGACCCACCGAATTCGGTATTGACCAATGCGCATCAATGCGCATTGTAACCGAATGACATAATTCGATTTCATATGTGATACGTTGACACACCGAAAGCCGATACGATTCAGTTCGTTTCTGTACGATTCTGTTACGTACATACCGAATACGGATCAGAACGGTTCGCGAAAAGGAGATTCCAAATCCTGACGTCATAGCGAGGTGCATTCTGGGTATTTCCAACGAGATCTTCACGAGAAACCACGTGATTTCATCAAGTGACTAATCCCAAACCGAACAGAACCGTGTTCGTTGACACACCGCCAAACAGAACTGAAACGAACCGTAAGCGAACTGCACAATCCACCTACGTATGTGGACTGAAAATAATGCGCATTGATGCGTATTACAACCGTATCTGGTGTGTACTTAACCGCGTGGAAGCGAATCAATGCGCATCAAACCGCATTGAAAGTTTGGTGTGTCAACGGTATTTATAAGTACCATCTGTAAAGCCTCATTGGCAGGTTAATTAGCATTTAAATCAACAAGATCAGTGGCGCGAAACGCAATAACGATAAGAAACAAGTAATGAATCATTGACAATGGCTGGCCGAATTCATTGTAAACTTGACAATAGATTAGACGGCAATATGAATGATAATTGTGAACAATAAACATTATGACGAACCGTGCCATATACCGGCATGTTTGTAACATCGGCATGTCGGAATGTCCGCCTTAGTTCCGCCGTTACGCTCGATACATTAACCGGCCGTGCCTCAATGCTCATGGTGCAAGTGACACGCTAATAAGGTTACCCAAGAAGCAAAATCAATATATCTCCACGTGAGTCATGCGTCATATCCTTCATTATACTCAAGAATCCGAATTAGAAGCCATTGCGTGCGCAATATGCAGGTAACTGCCCGCGATATACCCATTATGGGATGCTCTGCTATTAGATAGCGAGACGTCATAGCGGGGAGAATAATGATATATGAAATATGAATAAAACCAAAACGAGGAACCGAAACTTACTAGGAATTACAACAATCATATTGTAACAAATCCAAATAAAGACAGGGGAGGTTACGTTGTAAATATCCGCGGGGTATCAGTAAACAATTGTGTATATAGCAGCATATAAATACATAGTATAGTGTGTGTATAGTACCGATGTGTGTATTATGTGTATAATCTGTGTATCTGCGTAAACATGTAACGATCGCAAACATTCACTGAGTGAGGAATTCAGATGTGCGTAGCACGCGCACGTTCGCACCCACCGGGCATTGGCATTTTCCTGGCATTTTTCTTGAATCGGAAACCGGGCGAGAACACCTGTATTAAGCACGGCGACAAACAGCGCGCTAATGCAGGCTTCTCAATCCAAAGTATAACGTTCGCGCACGACAACGATGACACGCCGGCGGATGCATTGCGGATCGATGAACTCACCCCCCCCCTCGGTCGCACACGTGCGTCCAGCCTCTCGTATACCCGCGGCCACAATAGTATACACGGGCAGAAAATGTCGCGCGTTCGCTAGCGCGCATGCCCCGCCCACGGCTGCTACGACCGTACCTACCTTGTTACTCTTACCGCGTGATGATGTTGTACAGGTATTGATCACTACGCGCAGTGTCTGCATGAGGCAGTGCAGGTGTGCGCGTGCGTCTGGCATTGCTTCAGGATGCAGAGCGACAGGAGGCGTTAGAGGAAACGTACTCGTGTGAAGGTTGAGCGACGACTCTCGTCGCAGCCTTGACGACTTCACCAGAGCGAGAGAGTACTGCCCGAGCGATCACCGGTTTATGAAAATCAATAGGTAGAGCTGAGATCGCTCGGCGAGAGAGATGGATTATTAACCGGCGTGGAAAAGATACAAAGAGCAGCAGCAGCAGCAGACAGATGTCATATATCTACGTTTTACGAGCAGTGCAATATTTTCCATATACAGTCTACCGGTGCATTGCTAACGGTGTTATTAACAACGACGGGATTTTTCGTGAGTAACGACGTCAAGATTTAACGTGAGTAAAAACAACAATACATTGTAGTAGCAACGACAATTTATAATGTTAGTAACAGTGACAGTATATAATGTTAATACCGCTGACAAGCTTTAACACTAGTAACAACTAAAGACGACATATAACGCGACTAACAACGATTATATATAATCATCTTAGTTATATCTAGATATATATAATCTTAGTAACAGCGACAACACCTAATGTTACTAACAATGACAAGATTTTACGTTAGCAAAAACGACAGTGTATAATATTAATATCAATGACAACTTTAAACATTAAAGTTTAAAGTTGTCATTGATATTAATATTATACACTGTCGTTTTTGCTAACGTAAAATCTTGTCATTGTTAGTAACATTAGGTGTGACAACGAAGGATAATATATAACGTTAGTAACAACGACAATATATAGTGTTAGTAACAACGACAAGATTTCAAGTTAGTTACAAAGACAATATATAATGTTAGGAACAATGAAAAGTTATAACATTAGTGATAACGAATGACAATATATTACGCGACTAACAACGACAATATATAATATTAGTAATAACGACAACACTGGGGGGTTCGTACGCAGGTGTTGCGTCAACGGCGAACACCTATACAGCTCACGCGTTTCTCGCAGCCGAAAAACGAGTGACAACACCACGGCCGCCATGCCTCACCCGTCTGCCGGCAGCGCCGCCACCTTTCCGGCGGCGGGCGAGAAGAACGAGCAGGCGAACGGGAAGAAGCCGAAGTATCACCAGCGACCGAGCACGATGCAGACGCTGAATGAAAGTACGCCGTCACGCGTCTCCCGCCTCCCGCCAAACTCACTCGCCTCTCTCGGCGTACAGGCCGCCCGCAAGCCGCCGGGCACGTCCGACTCGCAGAGGGCGCCACCGCCGGAGCCGGACGTCGACGAGCTCGAAGCGAAGGACAGCGACGACTCGGGGCTTGGCGGCGACGCGCGTGACGTCGGCGCGCCGGCCGAGACGAAGCCTTCCGCTAGCAGACGCGTTGGCAAACCCGTCGCGAAACCCGCACGAATTCCGCCGGTGGAAGCCGACGGCAGGAAGAAGAACGACGCGAAGCCGAAGAAGAAGAACAAGCGACGCGACGACGTCGTCGCCGAGCAGGAACCGGCGCCGACGCCCGAAGTCGCGAAGCCGACGCGCAAAGACGCGAAACCGACGACGTACCCGAAGATCAGCCGCAACACGCGAGGCCGAATCGTCAGCACACAGTCGACGGAAGAGGGCGCTGCGCAGCCGGCGGAGAGCAGCCCGTCTCGGTCGCAGACAGGCTCGGAGCGCTTGCAGACGAGCAGCGTGGCGGATGACATCGAGAGGATGCAGCAGTACAGAGAGCGGCAGGAGAAGCTGCAGCACCCTCAGCCACAGCAGCCGTACGTTGATTGTTATCGCTTGATTTACCGCGTGATTAATTATTGGACAGTAGCGCTGGGCGCTAGGTAACCCGCTCATGCGGCTTATTTGCCATCGCACTCATCAATGCAGCCGTTTCACACGTGCGATGCTGTACTACTATTATTTAAACGTATATATATATATGTGTGTGTGTGTGTGTGTGTGTGTGTGTGTGTGTGTGTGTGTGTGTGATGGGCGTGTGTCCGCGTGTGTGCGTGTGTGGTGTGTGGTGTGTGGTGTGCTGTGTGTGTGTGGTGTGTGTCGTGTGTGTGTTGTGTGTGTGTGTGTGGTGTGTGTGTGTGTGTGTGTGTGTGTGTGTGTGTGTGGTAAGGTATCAGATGCTTTTGTCCTCCAAACATTAACACATGCACTAATATACTATTAGTCTAATATCGGAGGGTTGTGTTAAATGTTCGAGGTAATCTATGGGCTCATGTTAATTAAATTACGCATGATAAATCATAAATAGACGAAGGATCGTACACGGAATTTCCCTTGTCATCGTCCATGACATATTTTAGGGAGTCATGCTCCCCTACCCTAATTATAGAATTATTTACTCCTTATTTTTGTAGAAATAATAATAATAATAATCATCATAATAATTATAATAATAGAATTGTTACATTTATGTATTATATATGTATGTAAGGGGTGGGAATTTTGCGCCAAGCTCGTGTTACGAACATTAATATTCCATTATTTACCTATGAACGCGACCTGCGTACCTCGAAGGTCGCATGCACGAACCCAAACCCACGCATTTCTCACGAATCCAATTTCGATTTCCGAACAATTAATCGATCAACGAAATTTTGATTCGGTTACTTTCGCACTGCGTTTTGTTTGCTCGGGTCTCTCTTTACTTGTATCAGGAGCTAATAATGACAATTTTGTCATTATTAGCTCTTGCTTGTATGTGTATGACTACACACATAAGTCAGGCAGCTAGGTCGCTGAGTATTTTTGTAAATATTGTGTTAAGAAATCGATAACTTCGCTAGATGCAACTGCCGCGCGCACAATCAGCTTTTTATGATAGTGCTCCTTCTCGCAGACTAGAGACGAAGTGCATCCATCCTTCGTCAGCTAGCCTACATCATACATGTGTTGCATAATCAATATAAGCAGGCCGAACACGTGCCTGGAACGC